TGTGTAAACAACACGATTTTGGTATTATCATAATATTTGTAATTTTATAATAAAATTAATATAGAATAAAGATTTTCTATTCTATATATATGAAATTAAATATTCGCAGATAAATTTGCCAATATTTTACATGTTTAATTTTGATATTCAGTAATTGTGAAAACATAACTTCCGCTTTTTGTTTTAGAAGTAATATTAAGTACGGGCAAACAAACGTCTCTCGCAAATACAGGGAGACAGTAGACCTTTCGGCAGTTCATCATTTCTCGATTCCATCATTAGTTTAACCATAGATATAGAATGAAGATTCATTCTATATCTATGGTTTAACAACGTTTAAAAAGAAGCTGTAATGTCATATAGCAATGATAAAACGTCGCGGACGGGGGTAATTAATTGTTTTTCTAACTTACATGCTCACCATCCTCTTACTTAAGCAGGGCGTCTTAACCGCAACGCATATATAACCAGCAAGCATATTTTCATTTATTTTCCTTTTTAAATTAAGTCCCGAAGCATAAATCTACAACTGTATATAATACCTTCACTTTGTATATTGCTCGCCGCAATTTTTTAAATTTATGTTCTGTGCATTTACACATAATAAAATACATCCGTCAACTCTTTCGGTAACCTATATAGGAACCATCACGCATTTTAAAGACTGCAGTTCGATTGTGGACAGTTCCGGTGGAGTTGCGCAATAGGCATCCGCAGTAGTAAATGGAGCCTCGTTAAGCCAGTCAATGTCACATTGGCAATCCAATTTGCAACCTGTAATGCAAATTACAGTGTAAGTGTGAGCTTTTCAAGCTCGCAGAATGCACATAGCATGCAGCTTTACAGGTAGTTCCACCCACGTAGTCCTTCGCTGCGGACGATTGTTGCGTACGTGACGATACGTGCACGCGTATAAAGGTACAATTAATACACGAAGTGTGACACAAAACAAACCACATTTAATAAATAAACAGAATGTTAATAACAAAGAACGACCACACTTGCCTCCTAGATTAACGGTTACTCCATATGTGGATGTGAGTTCAGTCAGATTAAACACGTCCTTGTCGATAGATGTCAAGCGCTCGTTGTTTGACAAATCGAGAGAGCCGATCATTGGCAACCCATGGAAACCGCCAGGTTCGATGAAGCTTATCGCATTATTATTAATCACAATTTTCTGATGTGAAAATGTAATAAAAAATTAACAATGATTTGATCGACAGAATGGTGCAATATAATACACAGGCAAACAATATGGAATATATAAGATTAATAACTTAGTCGATGTGGTGACGTTACTAGACTATCTTCGACACACAACCACGGCAGTAACTCGAATAATAACAAAAAGAGCTTATAAAGAAGGTCTTCTTTCTTAAAGAAGGCTTTCTTTATACGCTCTTGATAATAAGCATATACAAAGATTCAATAATGCTTTTCGGCTGTGTTTACGCTCTTACAATACCACGTATCACTGACTCGACTACGGGTGTCTGAACGTACCCCCGTGTTACTCAGTCCTCTGAAGGTGCCAGCTGCGATGGTGACGAGGTTGTTGTTATAAATGTAAACCCTTGCTGCTGCCGTTGCGCCCTCAAAGGCACCAGCAGCAATGCTCGAAATCCGGTTGTTTTCAAGGTGTATCGGTTCAAGCTGATTGAGGCCGGCATAGGTTCCTGCTGAGACCGTGTACAGATGGTTGTTGTGGAGGTCTAGTGATGTGAGTTTATCTACATCTTTGAATGTTCCCGGTACAATGTGCTCGATGACATTATATGACAAATTGAGGGACTGTGGAAGCGTAAATAAATAAATGAATCAATAAATAAATAAAAACAATCAATAATTAAAAATTAAATAAAAAACAAATAAATGTATACATACGCACGTGCGTATGCATCCACTCACTCACGCACGCTTGCACGCACGCACGCACGCACGCACGTACGCACACACGCCCGCGCGCACAAACGCACGCGCACACAAACTCAAACGCACACACACACACACACACACACACACACACACACACACACACACACACACACACACACACACACACACGCGCACGCACACGCACGCACGCACGCACACGCACGCACATGTATATATATGGGATATAGATATCCACTGTCTCTACCGGGTATATCCACAGCAGGACTTTAGGGATAGGATTTACCGTGAGTTTCTTCAGACCCCGCAGCGCCTGAGGGGAGATGTAGAAAATCGCGTTATTGTCCAAAACTAGCCACCTCAGATTGCTAGCGTCCATAAAGCAACCGTCGTCTAATTTCTCAAGGTGGTTGAATGACATATACAGAAACTCTGAAAACAAACGGAGGGCGGCAAATTAGAATCGAGCGCAGTGCGAACGCTCATGACACCATGAAAGCGTAAAAGTCTGGCATAGACGGATACAAATATACTCAAGCTGGCATAGGCGGAAGAAAACAGAAAACATACCCAAGCCTGGCATAGTTGGGAACATCTGGCATGGTATTGCGGACAACGCCGTCTCCTCTACGTTCAAGGAATAAAGCCCTCCGATTCCAGCGAACGCGTCTGCGTGTATAATGGTCAGCTTTTCTCCGTACGTCAGATACACTTCTTTGATGGTTAAGCCGGCGAACGCTCTACCGGGTATCTGCTCAAAGCCGAAGTTTGTTATTGTGAACGAGTAGATCGTCGTCGGTCGTGGAATCCCAGCGATGATGTCAAACACTTGCGAACCGTCTCCAGGTAGTAAGTTAACATCGCAGGTGATGGACGTCGCGTAATAACTCTCTGTGCAGATGCAAGGATACAAGATGGAGGCGGAGGGGCAGTCCCAAGCTCTCGCGCCTCCCGCTAGCAGGATAACAGCGAAAATCAGAAGAATACTCATGACTATCGATATGAAGGCTACGTTCGGCGGCGATCGGTTTAAATAGGTAATTCGTGTGAACCGGGACAGCTGCTGCTGCTTGTTCCGCGTTGCAATTATGGCCCCTTATCTAATTTCACTTGTGTCAACGGAGTCAACGCGTGTCATATAAAACGATATTTCAAATAAGTGATAAGCACTGCGGATGGAACCCGCCACAGCTGACGTTAGATACAATCAGAGACTGTGTGACGCAATTCTCGCAAATGAAGATGAAATGATTAAAACCGAGAATCGCCGCCATGACACGAACGGTAAGAGGAGAGTGTGAGGCGATACAAGAACACCTTCATGTAAATGTTAAATTATGAGAAATGTAATATGAGTTGCGCAGATAGTGCTGACTCAAACAGATAGTAGAACTAAGAAAAAACGTTTAAACTGTGCGAACGAATGCGAATACAACTAGCGTAGGTCGAGTTAATTAATAAAACTAAATTATACAAGGCGTAATGAATAACACAACTAAGAACGCAACCGATATAAGGCCCCCGCACACGGTGCGAATTCGGCACGCACCAACGGCGCTGAGCTAAACGCACGCGCCATATGCTCACGTAAACCTATATATGCGTAAACCAGCTAGCACGCGGTGCGCATTTGGTGCGCGCCGAATTCGCACATATGCGGCGGGGGGAGGGGGGCTTTTTAAACACACACACGTGCGCGCGTATTTTTCTTATCATAACTCTATATGTGAACTGAGACATATGCAGCTGTCATTTGTTCGATTATAGACGTAGCAATATTACGACTACTATATTACTACATTATAATTATATATGCACTTAGTTTTGCTTGTGACAATTAAGGCGCGGCACGACAAGGAACAATCTATCACTATATATTATCAGGGGTAAATAATCTCAAAGAGAGA